TTAAAGTTCATGTGTGTGGGAAGGGCGGGCCGCGCAATACCTTTGGCAATATAGCATATCTGGCCTCCTATCAAGTAGGAAAGCTGATGGTTGGGGCCCCTAAAGTGACGTGTTTGTACACAAGCTGAATAGGTACTGTGTTTTATCCATCAAAAGAGCTGTAAAATAATACACACGGGGGGAGATTTACTAAAACGGGTGCACAATCTGGGTCAGCTGCCCATGGCAGCCAATCAGCTTCTAACTTCAACTTGATCATTTAAACTTTGGCAATCAAACCTGGAAGCTGATTGGTTTCTCTGCAGATCTTCTCCAGTTTTAGTAATAAACCCTCCCAGTGTTGTTGAGTGGAGTGTTCATGTTTGTACCTTGAGCTGGCCGGAAAGACATCTAAATACAGTTGGATCATGCCTCCAACACTGTCCATTGAGGTCTATGGCCGTCCTGACGGGATAAAGCCTCCAATGCCGTCCATTGATATCTATGGCCTTCCTGACGGGATCATGCCTCCAATGCCATCCATTGATGTCTATGGCCGTCCTGGCGGGATCATGCCTCCAACGCTGTCCATTGATGTCTATGGCCGTCCTGACGGGATCATGCCTCCAACGCCGTCCATTGATAGCTATGACCGTCCTGACGGGATCATGCCTCCAATGCCATCCATTTATGTCTATGGCCGTCCAAGCGGGATCATGCCTCCAATGCCATTCATTGATGTCTATGGCCGTCCTGGCGGGATCATGCCTCCAACGCCGTCCATTGTTGTCTATGGCCATCCTGACGGGATCATGCCTCCATAGCAGTCCATTGATGTCTATGGCCGTCCTGACGGGATCATGCCTCCAACGCCGTCCATTGATGTCTATGGTCGTCCTGACGGGATCATGCCTCCAACGCCGTCCATTGATGTCTATGGCCTTCCTGACGGGATCATGCCTCCAACGCAGTCCATTGATGTCTATGGCCGTCCTGACGGGATCATGCCTCCAACGCCGTCCATTGATGTCTATGGCCGTCCTGACGGGATCATGCCTCCAACACTGTCCATTGAGGTCTATGGCCGTCCTGACGGGATAAAGCCTCCAATGCCGTCCATTGATATCTATGGCCTTCCTGACGGGATCATGCCTCCAATGCCATCCATTGATGTCTATGGCCGTCCTGGCGGGATCATGCCTCCAACGCCATTCATTGATGTCTATGGTCGTCCTGACGGGATCATACCTCCAACGCCGTCCATTGATGTCTATGGCCGTCCTGACGGGATCATGCCTCCAACGCAGTCCATTGATGTCTATGGCCGTCCTGACGGGATCATGCCTCCAACGCCGTCCATTGATGTCTATGGTCGTCCTGACGGGATCATGCCTCCAACGCCGTCCATTGATGTCTATGGCTGTCCTGACGGGATCATGCCTCCAACGCAGTCCATTGATGTCTATGGCCGTTCTGACGGGATCATGCCTCCAACGCTGTCCATTGATGTCTATGGCCGTCCTGACGGGATCATGCCTCCAACGCCGTCCATTGATAGCTATGGCCGTCCTGACGGGATCATGCCTCCAATGCCATCCATTTATGTCTATGGCCGTCCAAGCGGGATCATGCCTCCAATGCCATTCATTGATGTCTATGGCCGTCCTGGCGGGATCATGCCTCCAACGCCGTCCATTGTTGTCTATGGCCATCCTGATGGGATCATGCCTCCAACACCGTCTATTGATGTCTATGGCCGTCCTTACGGGATCATGCCTCCAACACTGTCCATTGATGTCTATGGCCATCTTGACGGGATCATGCCTCCAACACCATCCATTGATGTCTATGGCCGTCCTGACGGGATCATGCCTCCAACGTCGTCCTTTGATGTCTATGGCCTTCTTGACGGGATCATGTCTCCAACGCCGTCCATTGATGCCTATGGCCTTCCTGACAAGATCGTACCTCCAACGCCATCCATTGATGTCTATGGTCGTCCTGACGGGATCGTGCCTCGAACGCCGTTCATTGATGTCTATGGCCGTCCTGACGGGATCATGCCTCCAACGCCATCCATTGATGTCTATGGCCGTCCTGACGGGATCATACCTCCAACGCAGTCCATTGATGTCTATGGCCGTCCTGGCGAGATCATGCCTCCAACGCCATCCATTGATGTCTATGGCCGTCCTGACGGGATCATGCCTCCAATGCCATCTATTGATGTCTATGGCCGTCCTGACGGGATCATTCTTCCAACGCCGTCCATTGATGTCTATGGTCGTCCTGACGGGATCATGCCTCCAACGCCATCCATTGTTGTCTTTGGCTGTCCTGACGGGATCATGCCTCCAATGCCTTCCATTGATGTCTATGGCCTTCTTGACGGGATCATGTCTCCAACGCCGTCCATTGATGCCTATGGCCTTCCTGACAAGATCGTACCTCCAACGCCGTCCATTGATGTCTATGGCCGTCCTAACGGGATCGTGCCTCCAACGCCGTCCATTGATGTCTATGGTCGTCCTGACGGGATCGTGCCTCGAACGCCGTCCATTGATGTCTATGGCCGTCCTGACGGGATCATGCCTCCAACGCCATCCATTGATGTCTATGGCCGTCCTGACGGGATCATACCTCCAACGCAGTCCATTGATGTCTATGGCCGTCCTGGCGAGATCATGCCTCCAACGCCATCCATTGATGTCTATGGCCGTCCTGACGGGATCATGCCTCCAATGCCATCTATTGATGTCTATGGCCGTCCTGACGGGATCATTCTTCCAACGCCGTCCATTGATGTCTATGGTCGTCCTGACGGGATCATGCCTCCAACGCCATCCATTGTTGTCTTTGGCTGTCCTGACGGGATCATGCCTCCAATGCCTTCCATTGATGTCTATGGCTGTCCTGATGGGATCATGCCTCCCACGCCATCCATTGTTGTCTATGGCCATCCTGATGTACAATAGGCAAGACATGAACAGCTCAGGGAGTCAGTTAAAACTTCTTAGCTGTTAATTCGGCATTGGGATTGTGGATGGAAGTCCATATCCATTAACATAACACTGGGATCAAGACACTGACTTGGACACAATGGCTGTTTTGTGGTCTCTTAACTAACATAGCCTTTGGTGGAACGTTTTCTCCGAGGCAGAAAAGTTAAAGGCCAAATCCATTGAGAAGCCCCATTGATTTTTTCCGTGAAGTCACAAAGCTCCAAATCCCGGAGAAAGAAAACAAGTCAACCCGAAAACTTCTTCCCACTCTGTTGATAAACAAGCAAAAAAAATAGAATAATGATAGGTGGGGGAGGGGAATGTGAACTGGTTTTGGACAGCTATAGAAAAGCCCATTAGTACACATGTGATGGGATCATAAAAAGGGCAACTCTGCTTGAAACTGGTATTTCAGTTTGGTAGAATAAAGCCTATTCCTTTCAGAAGGTGACAGTCATAGTAAATAGGTATTTATTTCCTATGATTATTAGCGCCAACTAGTGACCATAATGCATTATTAGTGTTTAGCTTGATGTTTGAGTCGAACATAAGTTCAACTCGAACATGGGCCGTGTCTTCGTCAAACACATGAATGGTAGGGGTATTCGGTTGTCAAAGATTGTCTCCTGTCATTTTTTACGCTACACTTTTATTTTTTGTGAATGAGTAGCAGTATAATGTACCCCATACTCATTCACACAGGGGGAGGGCAGGATCTGGGGGTCCCCTTGTTAAAGGGGGCTTCCAGGTTCCAATAAGCAGACCCCACAACCATCAGCCATGGTTGTGGGGAAGAGGCCCTTGTCCCCATCAACATAGGGACAAGTTGCCCCAAAGCACCCCCCCATGTTGAGGGCATGTGGTCTTGTATGGTTCGGGTGTGGGGGAGGGGGGGCGCTCGCTCATTTCCCCCCCTTTGCTGACCTGCCGGTCTGCATGCTCGGATCTGGGGATCTTGTTAAAGGGGGCTTCCAGATTCCAATAAGCCCCCCTATCCTCAGACCTCCTCAACCACCGTTCACAGTTGTGGGGAAGAGGACCATCAACATGGGGACAAGGTGCTTTGGGGGGGGGGATCACCCCCCCATGTTGAAGGCATGTGGCCTGGTATGGTTGGGGGGGGGGGGGCACTCACTCGTCCTCCTCTTTCCTGACCTGCCAGGCTGCATGCTCGGATAAGGATCTGGTATGAATTTGGAAGACGCCCAAGCCATTTAAAAAAAAAAAATTTGGGTGAGGGGGGTTCCCCTTAAAATCCATACCAGACTCAAAGGGCTTGGTAAGGATGGGGGAGGGAACCCCACATCATTTTTTATTTATGAACCGGAGGAGCGGAGAACATTTTCTTCTCATCACAGGACACACCCTTCTGTCATTCACTTTTACAGAGATGACCAGTTTATGAAGGTGAGTTCTGAAGATCTCATTGGTCATCTCTTTAAAATATTTCCGTCCCAGAGCTGGACAATCTTGGTGAGAAACTGTTGTGATGTGAGGAAGAAGGCTTCTTTCTTCCTAATATCAGCACCAGCGGGGTTAAACATTGACATAAATTATAACCATGTTTATGTATATTTGTATTTTATATATAGTGTACAGCAGGGCTCAAAATTTCAAGTCCTGAGCTACTAGCCAGGCCTTAAGAGTTGCTCGCCACCAGTTGCCCCACCCAACCCCAACCCTGCCCCGCCCCGCCCCTAATTCTGCCCCTAAACATGCCCTCGTAAATTATCTCATGAAATGACACTGTTAAATGTTACCCACAGGGTCCCCAGAGTCCCTCCACATTAGGGTCCCCAAAGCCCCCCCCATATTACATCAGGGCCTCCAATGCCCCCCTAAGCACTACATCATACTTAGACCATGCACTGCATACAACCATAATCTCTCACCAAACCATAACTCTACCAAGCATATCCAACCCAGCAAAACCTCAAATGCCCCCATACCCATACACCCATAATAGCCACATCATCCTGAACCTGACCAAACCACACATACATGTATGCTTAAACACACACATACAGACACATGTACATACTCAGACACACACATACACACAGAAACATATACACACATGCACAGAAACACATATGCAGACACATGTACACACACACACAAAAGTATACACACACAGACACATGTACATACACACACACTGATACACACACACATACGCAGATACACACACACATACACAGATATACACGCACACACAGATACACATACACACACAGACACAGATATACACACACACCCCCCTATAAAAAGTTGCAGTACTTCGTTGTTCACTCACAGAGCCGGGTACTGCACTCTAGTGGGAGGCAGAGAGCACAGCACACACTCCTTGCTTTGCTTTCACTGCGCTCAGCTATTGAGCAGTCTGATGGCTCCCAGTGCCAATGACAGATCCGGCCTGAGCTCCGAGCATGCTCAGCAAGACGGCCCTGGGGGGCACACTCGCCCCCACCATAATGTCCACTCGCAATGCGAGGTGGTGAGCGTAAATTTCAAGGCCTGGTGTACAGTGTATATATATGTATTGTCGTTTAGGATGCATTAACTCCGGAGCAATGCAGAATTGTTGGCAGAATTGTGTTAAAATACGCAGTGCACTTTTGAGTGTCATTCATTGTTAATGGCGCCCCAAATGCTGTTAGCAGACATGCATTTTACGGCACATTTTGTCATTTGACAAATACACATTGAAAAAAAACACACCAAAATGCACATTGAAAAAAACACAACACTCCCTACCCAAAAAAGGTTCAGTTTGGTCCTTTTTAACAAACATTTTGCTGATTTTTTCAACACACGTTCTTTAACCGCCTCCCACTCGCCATATAAGGAAATGACAGGCGCAAGGCGGTTTCTCTTGTACTGGGAGGACGTCATATGATGTCCTCCCACTCTAACTGCGCATGTGCGGCTCCGGGAGCGCGCAGCGCGGCGATTGGGACACAGCGGATCAACGATCAACGAAAAGAGCCGAAGATGTCGGCTCGGTCATGTGATCAGTTGTGTCCAATCACAGCTGATCGCATGCAAATAGGGAAATGCCGGTTGTCAGCATTTCTCTCCTCTCGAGCTGTCAAGCTGACAGAGGAGAGGAGAGCCGGTAATCGGCTTTCGGCGGAGGGGACATGTACACTGACCATCAGAGCACTGATGATCAGTGTGCCCTGATAATCAGCGTAGCCCCAGCAGTGCCACCTGCCAGTGCCCATCAATGCCACATATCATTGCCCATCAATGCCACATATCAGTGCCCATCTGAGCTGCCTTTCAGTGTCACCTATCAGTGCCAGTCAGTGCCACCTATCAATGCCAGTCAGTGCCACCTATCAGTGCTACCTATCAGTGCCAGTCAGTGCCGCCTATCAGTGCCAGTCAGTGCCGCCTGTCAGTGCTGCCTATCAATGCCGCCTAACAGTGCCAGTCAGTGCCGCCTAACAGTGCCATATATGAGTGCTGCCTTTCAGTGCCCATCAGTGATGCCTGTCAATACCCATCAGTGCCACCTACTAGTGCCTCCTCATCAGTGCCACCTATCAGTGCTCATCAGTGCAGCCTATCAATGCCCATCACTGCAGCCTCATTAGCGCACATCAATGAAGGAGAAAAATCACTTATTTACAAAATTGTATAACAAAAAAAAGAAAAAAAAAATTTTTTTTCAACATTTTCAGGTATTTTTGCTTTGTTTAGCAAAAAAAAAAAAAAAAAAAAACCCCTGAGGTGATTAAATACCACCAAAAGAAAGCTCTGTCTCAAAAAAATGATAAAAATTTCATATGGGTGCAGTGTTGCATTACCGTGCAATTGTCATTTATAGTGTGACAGCGCTGAAAGCTGAAAAGTGGCCTGGGCAGGAGGTGTAGAAGTGCCCGGTAGGCAGGAAGGGGGGGGGTAGAAGTGTCCTGTAGGCAGGAAGGGGGTAGAAGTGCCCTGTAGGCAGGAGGTGTAGAAGTGCCCTGTAGGCAGGAAGGGGGTAGAAGTGCCCGGTAGGCAGGAAGGGGGGTAGAAGTGCCCGGTAGGCAGGAAGGGGGTAGAAGTGCCCTGTAGGCAGGAAGGGGGTAGAAGTGCCCGGTGGGCAAGAAGGGGGTAGAAGTGCCCGGTGGGCAGGAAGGGGGTAGAAGTGCCCGGTAGGCAGGAAGGGGGGTAGAAGTGCCCGGTAGGCAGGAAGAGGGTAGAAGTGCCCGGTGGGCAGGAAGGGGGTAGAAGTGCCCGGTAGGCAGGAAGGGGGTAGAAGTGCCCCGTGGGCAGGAAGGTGTAGAAGTGCCCGGTAGGCAGGAAGGGGGTAGAAGTGCCCAGTGGGCAGGAAGGGGGTAGAAGTGCCCGGTAGGCAGGAAGGGGGTAGAAGTGCCCGGTAAGCAGGAAGGGGGGGTAGAAGTGCCCGGTGGGCAGGAAGGGGGTAGAAGTGCCCGGTAGGCAGGAAGGTGTAGAAGTGCCCGGTAGGCAGGAAGGGGGTAGAAGTGCCCAGTGGGCAGGAAGGGGGTAGAAGTGCCCGGTAGGCAGGAAGGGGGTAGAAGTGCCCAGTAGGCAGGAAGAGGGTAGAAGTGCCCGGTGGGCAGGAAGGGGGTAGAAGTGCCCGGTAGGCAGGAAGGGGGTAGAAGTGCCCCGTGGGCAGGAAGGTGTAGAAGTGCCCGGTAGGCAGGAAGGGGGTAGAAGTGCCCAGTGGGCAGGAATGGGGTAGAAGTGCCCAGTAGGCAGGAAAGGGGTAGAAGTGCCCGGTAGGCAGGAAGGGGGTAGAAGTGCCCCGTGGGCAGGAAGGTGTAGAAGTGCCCGGTAGGCAGGAAGGGGGTAGAAGTGCCCAGTGGGCAGGAAGGGGGTAGAAGTGCCCGTTAGGCAGGAAGGGGGTAGAAGTGCCCAGTAGGCAGGAAGGGGGTAGAAGTGCCCGGTAGGCAGGAAGGGGGTAGAAGTGCCCGGTAGGCAGGAAGGGGGTAGAAGTGCCCTGTAGGCAGGGAGGGGGTAGAAGTGCCCGGTAGGCGACGGGTTAAAAAAATGTGAGTTGAAATTTTTACAGTATGTGCATTTTGGTGCTTTTTTTAACATGTATTTTGGCTCACTTTTTTTTTGTGTGTGTTCTGGAAATGCATGTTATGTTTGTGCTGCCATTATTTGTTAATGGCACCCAAAAGTGGCCAGCAGATGTGAAGTTTGCAAAAATATACATAATAAAACGAATCAAAATGCACTTTAATAAAGTACCAAAATCTGCGTTACAAACCACACCAAAATGCATGTTAAAATAACCTGTGCCAAAATGTGCATTAACCCCCTAGCGGTCTGATTATGTCAGTATTTCTGTGCTCAATGCGGTACATTTTTTTGCATGGAAATATGTTGTTTTTTTATTGTAGGCCTGTAATTTTTAGAAATAACTCCCTGAAATCTGTCCGGACAAGAGTCTAGTAAACATCCCGGGGAGGATAACATTTGAAACACAAAATCATAAATTATAATATAATAAATAATCATAAAAAATAATAATATAATAATAATAAATGTAATTCAATAATATAATCAAACCAAAAACACTGAAATGTGAAATATAGCGCCAAGTTCGCCCATCACTGAGCTCAGTCGCAGAATCGTTTTCAGTGTCTGATGAGGAATTTCCCCCACCAATCATTATCACCCAATTCTGCAAGTGGTTCTGATTTACTATCGCTGTTCTCTAGCCGGTCTAAAACCGCGTCTGACCTAAAGGGACGCTTTTTGGACGCCATGGACGTTTCTCAGTTTCCAGGCAGAAAGGGCGGTAACAATGCAGGCAGGGCGCCGGACAAAGCACTCGGGACACAATGTGTGTGAAATGGTTTGATACAGGAATGTTATACTATGTGATTTTAGTGTATTTAGTGAATGTCACTTTTTTAACATTTTTAAATTTCCCGCCAGTTCCGTCCCCCGTACGTCCCGACGTCGCAGGGAACGGAACCCGGAAGACAGATGCCGGCATCGGCCGGAGGACATTGCTGGGGACACTGCAGGGGGGACATCGCGAGAGCGCAGGACAAGGTAAGAGAAGAAGGGATCCCGGAGCAACGCTGCAGTGTATTCCCGAGTGTAGCTCGGGGGGGGGGGGGGTTACCGCTTGTGGTGCTGAAACTTTACCCCGAGCTACACTCGGGAATACCACCAGGGGGGTTAAAGCACCTAAATGTGTGTTTAGAAAGGCGTCAAAATGCACATAAAATAATGCTAAAATGCGCAATAAAAAAGAAGCCAAAATAAACATTTAAAGAATGTGCCAAAATGTGCGTTAAAAAGTACAAGTGGTCAGTGATTATTATTTCCGTGGAATGGTCTTTGTAACTTTGGTTACATTGTTTCATGTCAGGTGATCTGTAATCACACAATTATCTCAGGAGTGCACATGCAGCCCCTCCCCCGTCTACACAGATCTCAGAGGAAAAACTTCTGAGAACACATGTTCTCCACCTCATAAACGGCGGGACGGAGGAGAAGATTTTTTCCTGAGAACTAAAATGAGATAAATGATCTCTGCTTAATAAATGTACACCTTACAGCGGTCCGATCCGTGCGATTCTGGCATGGTTGGATCCACACCGATTTCTATAGTCGTGCATGCGCTGCTTCATGTGCGACTTGCCTAGAAGTGTCCTGCAGTGCCGCAGATGTCTCGCAAGTCGCAATGATTTTGCAATGGTGCGACTTCCAGTGAGGTGGGATGGGTGTAATCGGGGTGGGATGGGGGTGATCGGGGTGGGATGAGTGTGATCGGGGGTGAGATGGGTGAGATCGGGGTGGGATGAGTGTGATCGGGGTGGGATGAGTGTGATTGGGGTGGGATGGCGGTGATCGGGGTGGGATAAGTGTGATCGGGGTGGGATGGCGGTGATCGGGGTGGGATATGTGTGATCGGGGTGGGATATGTGTGATCGGGGTGGGATGAGTGTGATCGGGGTGGGATGAGTGTGATCGGGGTGGGATGGGTGAGATCGGGGTGGGATGAGTGTGATCGGGGTGGGATGGTGGTGATCGGGGTGGGATGAGTGTGATCGGGGTGGGATGGTGGTGATCGGGATGGGATGAGTGTGATCGGGGTGGGATGGCGGTGATCGGGGTGGGATGGGTGAGATCGGGGTGGGATGAGTGTGATCGGGATGGGATGAGTGTGATCGGGGTGGGATGGCGGTGATCGGGGTGGGATGGGTGAGATCGGGGTGGGATGAGTGTGATCGGGGTGGGATGGCGGTGATCGAGGTGGGATGGGCGAGATTGGGGTGGGATGGGCGTGATCGGGGTGGGATGAGTGTGATCGGGGTGGGATGGCTGTGATCGGGGTGGGATGGCTGTGATCGGGGTGGGATGGCTCTGGCTGGGGTGGGATGGCGGTGATCGGGGTGGGATGGCGGTGATCGGGGTGGGATGGGTGAGATCGGGGTGGGATGAGTGTGATCGGGGGTGGGATGAGTGTGATCGGGGTGGGATGGCGGTGATCGGGGTGGGATGGGCGAGATTGGGGTGGGATGGGCGTGATCGGGGTGGGATGGC